AAAACAAAATGGCCGCCAGTCGGCCATTTCGAACTAGATCCAACAAAAAATTACGTGCATCAAGGTCCTATTATGTTTAATGTATGTACCAAATTTGAACAAAATCCGTCCATGCATAACTGAGATCCGGGTCCGGAATGGTGAAAATGTGCAATTTTGATGCATTTTCGGCCTTAAAATGGCCGCTATTCGGCTATTGTTAATCGGATCATGAAAACAATGCATGTGCATATGTCCCATATAATGTGTGATCTATGAGTGAAGTTTGAACTTAATCGGTCCATGCATGTTCGAGATACAGGTGATCATGGACGCACGCACCCACACAGGGCAAAACGTAAGTCCCCGTTTTCGGACTACGTCCGAACGGGGACTAATAAAGAGTCCATTTCTGTGAACAAGCTTTTTTTTCAATGCAAAAAAATTAGTCATCATAACTTTCCTGCTACTATTGTAAAGTAAAGATAATAAAGATTAATTTATTATATTTTCTTCAAATTATTTTATGAATTGGTACTTCATGTTGAATTTTTTGATGCATTAATACATGATTTTCACCTTTTTGACCCTTTGAAGACCAAAGTCAATTTTTGTAACTATTCACAATATAAATATGCACATTTTTTTCAACAACAAAAAAAAGAAACGCACTATAAGTGTCATACCCAATTTATTTCATAGTCCTTGAGCGGACTTTCTCTTTTTATAGCAGAACACAATCGTGCACACAATCACTGCCTCGTTAGCGCAGTAGGCAGAGCACGTCAGTCTCATAATCTGAAGGTCATGAGTTCGATCCTCACATGGGGCAGCCAACTTTAATTTTTTTTTTTTTTTTTTATTTTTATTACTGTTTCTAAAATTTATTACATAAAAGCCTAAAATGTTAACTTTCATTATGGTGTAATAAATGAAATTATTATTATTATTAAAGTGCAATTGTCGTCGGTGGTGGCACTGTTAAAGCAGGAGGGTGGTCACCTGCGCATGTGCGGGAATTGAGTCCTAAGCGATAATAACACACGCTAAAAACGCAAAGGCTCATGGGTGGACGCTTGTTTGTAAACAATGACACACTATGGCCACCTGTCGCATGCGTAGGTGACAACTCACCCGCTTCAAATATTTCTTGCATCTCTCATATACATCGCTATAACTTAAGAATTTCTCTTTTCATTTAGTAAAGAATTAAGTATAGATATAATGGTGCAGTATTCAGTTTGTGTGTATATTAATTACGTAGAATATAAAATTAAATAATATTCTAATAATTATTATTATACATCTGTCACCATAACAAGTCACAATATGCCGTAATTTTGCAGTATTGCACTGAATATTTTCATCCTACCATATTGGCAAATGCAAATTCCAAATATGGAGCGATTATGCACATAAGCGTCCTCTAAAAATAAAAAAAAACATGGCTGCATGCAGGGTTTGACCGGACCCCACACAATGAAGTTCGCTAAATCTCTTCCAAACATTTTAGATTTGGATTGGATTTCAGCATTCCCATGATATATTCCTGGGAAGAAAAAATGTATATAATAAGGTTATTACTAGGACACACAGAAAGTGTGCAGTCACATCGATTTATGCTGTGCAACGATTGATACTTTCACTGTACTGATTTAAATTCATGTTTATTTTGCACTATCCTCGCAATAACCTCATATTATTCTACTAATATCCACATAAAAAACAGGCCGGCCAACGATCCGTGGTACATCGTGGCCATTCCAGGATGTAAACTCGTTCTTACAAATGAATAAATACAACATTAGTATATTAGGCCCATTCTATGATATTTCAATCGTATGCATGCAACGCAAAACTTAATATATTACCGAATATTTGGATTTCAATTATTTCCATGGGATAACAAATTTAGTATTTTTTGGCAAATTTTTAATTCATTATCAGTATCAGTGTGTTTAAATTTCCGTGAATTAACATATGGCATTTTACGTAAAATGATTGGTTGTCCAACTGAGGGCGTGTCTTTTTTTCTGTGCTAAACGTGCAACACCAAAATCCTGCCACTTACTTTTCATGGTTGTTGGCCCATAGTCATCTGCACCAGTATCGCGAGTTTTAAGTTTCGTTTACTATGTTGGTCGCTTGACACCATATTCACCGCCTCCTTTCGGTACCGACGCCCAACTCGACGTCCTGGGGAGGAAATCTACTCGCCGCGCCACCTGGATACCTCTCCTTCCCAGAAACATGTTTTC